AAACACATTAATAAGCCTATGTAAAACACCAACAAAAGTATCAACCTCTAACAAATTCAAAGAAACACAATATTTAGTCCATCAAGGTTTGAAATCTTATGGAAATATGGGTCTTGGTTATCTTCGAGTACCTTGATTAGAGAAATTTCAAGTTGTGAAGAGTATGTTATTATCCAACAGATAACAAAAAAAATGATATGGCTTCCAAAATTAAGTATCATAATTTCATTCTTCTAGTTGTAACAACTTCACTGGAGGACCATTTTGCCCTCATCAGTATATATGGCAACTCATATGAAAGTGGCATTTAATCAAATACCTGTGATGCATGTGCCTCTTTGTCCTGAAGCATAATGATATAATTAATGAAATTACACATATCAATAATCCACAATCTGCATATCATCAATCATCACAATCTGGTTCCCGATAGCGTAATTTGTAGAATCTAATTAGCATAGTAGAAGAAATAATACTACATTCGCACACTTTTTAGTCATCTACAACGTATCATATTAAGAAATAACGAAATCATTATAAAAGTTTAACATACATGCTGAAATTCAATGAAACACAACTAAATTAAAACGTCACAAAAAAACTTTATATCATTCATAAAACATATAGGAATGTGTTTATTCCATTATAACTTCCTTCATTAAGTTTCTAAACAATAACACTACCTAATTTAATCATTCAAACCCCATACTATTAAAAAAATTCCAGATTCAATGTCATCTCATTCTCAGTTTACGATCAAGTTTATTAACTCATACATATCTGTCACCATGCTCACCATTTGCATCAAAATCAAGATTCCATTGAGTGAATCCTTACATTATAGCATAACCTACAGTGAAAATGACCTATGAAGATTTAGAGTAGCTACAACTTGACATTATGCAAATATTAACCTCCACTTTAATAAAATAATGAAAAAGAATACTTGATTGAACTCATTGTAATATCATTATCAATTGTCTTCGAGATCCTATCTACTACAATTTGAATGCGACACCTTTCAACCATTCAAAAAGTATACTGATTAAAAGATTGAATTAGCGTATCTGATTGGTATCCGATTGTGGTAAGGGGAATTAGAAATAAGATATGGTTTAAGCATTTCATCGAGCACTTAGTGAGCATAATCAAACTTGTCACATTTCACAATACATCCTTCTCTTTCTTTCCTCATTCATGTTATCATTTATTTTATTCTATCTCTACATCAAATCCAAAGCTTCAACGTTCTAAAATATATCAATGCAGGCACAGATTAACATGAAAATATCAACGTTGGTTAAGAATAAAATCAGGGGGTAGTTCACCATAATGAAAATCACATATCAAAATGATAGCTAATAGAATAAGCTTATATTACATTGGTGGAAGTAGTGAAGTAACTAAAAAAATACAATACTTAATCACAAATGATGTAGTAGCCATAACGTTGTCTCATCCCATTGGTCTGATTCCAAACTTGCAGATATAAGCATCCAAAACTTCACAAGGAAGCGATGTTAAAGTCTCAAGAGTATTTGGATTACCTGTGGAGATTTGGAGTATATAAATATACAGGGGAAGGGATGACAATGAAGTAACTCAAACGCCATGTTATGGATGAACAGGAAGGTATTCTCCGATCGTTTCTTTTGGGAGTTCTGGTTGCTTCAAACAACGACATGGGGGAGACGAGCCCTAACCTGAAAAGCGTGACATGCAGCAATAGAAGAAAGTAGCGGAACTTGTCGATTGCAGAACCAAAAAAGGCGTGGAATCAGCTCACAGCAGTCCAAGATAACCCTTC